CGCGGCGCGCGAGTCGGACGACACGCCGAACTCGTACATGTGGGCTGGAGTAGCCTGTAAGAAATGCAGCGCAGCCGTATCACACAGGGCTCCTCTGAACGTTATAGAGACGTGTGAACGCGATAGAGTGATCCGTATCCAAATAAGTGACAGGAATGGAGGCAATGGTGGGGTAAGTTCTATGCAACTCCACTCGATGTTTACTTCAAGTATTGCAGAAATATAATCATAAGATTCTAGCAGAGATGTGATGCGAAGAATAGACGCCAAAATGAAGCAACTCAAATGTGACAAAAGAAAACTAAACAAGCACAAATAAAAATACAAAACCGTAGGACTGGCTATTCAGACCAGTAACAATAGGAACGTTACGGAATGTTTTGCATATTTACCGCAAAAAGTCATCCTGTACCTAAAAAGATAAGAGATTGTAACGGTATTCGCACAGGTAAAGCTTAAAATCCTCGGAAGATGACGATGCTGATAGATTGTAAGGCCTCCGGGCAGCAAGGTCATCGTTTCTAGGTTAACAGATGAAGACTTATTGACGATACTACTAAACCTGAGGAGTGTAACAAAGTCCTACCAGCATAGGGGAGTGACTAGCGGATTACAACACAAATGGACACGGACGTAAACGAACAAGGCTTGACTGAATACACTGCCACATCGATTTGCATTGTTGAATTATCACAGACTGATGGCGACTCGGGATAGAGCCCTGATTTCCACGGATTTACTATGACCACTAGTACATAATGTGACTGACATGTGGGGGACATGAATTGGTTTGCATTCATACCGACACACGGCGAAGTTCATGTGTACAATACACGAGCGTTTGTGTTTATACGTACGTCCCGGAGCACTACTCACCCATTCGGAGACTGGTTGCCACCTGACGACTACGCTCATCTTAGCCCGGGCTTTCCATAGACGACTTTACATATAGTAATTTAACAGAATATGTTAATATCACGAACATAGTTCCATGAAAGCACACAGTGTTCAGCTTCCCCAAAACAGGATATCGATGTATATTTTGATGAATTGGAAATCACAGCCCATGAGAAATAGCACTGGCACAAAATGTTAAAACAAACATGGGCCGAACTTTTTACATCCCCTTGTAAGCAGTCATGATAAACATGTTGGGATATCTGATTCGAACGACTCCATGGCATGAAAATTACAGGAGTGGACTTGATCAAGTGCACATATTGTGTGACGAATTATATGGCATTACAGTGTGTAACAAACGTCATCATCTCAATAGAATACCCCAATTCTCACCTCACTTATGTCCATTTCCACCGCCTCGTAATTTGCAGTGTTGTCCCCCGACATCTGAAGCAGAACATGAAACAATCGTCAGATAGTTTTGCGTTGATTTCACTTAGAGCGAAAGTGAAGTGATAATTCGAATTATATCAAGTACCAATGTAGGTACGTTTTTAGTTTACACCACGGACCAGAAACACTTCTCTTTTTGAGAAATTAAGACCACAGTATTTTCCAATATGCTTGATAGTTACTTTTATCCCAATATCCAATATCCAATATCCAATAGTTACTTTTCTTAACATGGCTCTAACTGAGAATGAATGCACAATTTACCATCAAGACAATCACAGTGCAGTCTACGACTCTATTATGTGAACAGTTCAGCATACCTTTGAATCACCGTCACTGACATAGCCTGCCAAGGCATCCATCCTACAGCTGGCGGCCCCTGGAACACAAACATACATAAAGGTTCATCGGTCGGTGACGATTAAGGTTGCCAACGCGATCCAGCTACTGTTCAGCAGCCCAGACAGATCAGTTTAGGACCATATTTGGATGTTATTCGGCCGTTGCGGTTATTAGCGAGCGAAGTCTTACGTAGAATGACAGAAATTTCTGAGTATTAGCGACCAGCCGGCAGTGGGGACGCTTGGGATCTAAGCTTGGTATGAAAACTTATTGCAAAAAAATGTTTTATGATAAGAACGTCAAATTTTAAGGTTCTCGCTCTCTGGAGGCTAAACCATTGACCCTTGGCCAAATCTGACCTAAATACTCAGAAAGAGCTTTAAAAGAGCTATGGAAAGCGCTTTTTTCGAGGCACTACAACTCTATTTCTTTACGCGTTATCCTCCGTTTAATTGAAGACGTCAAAATCTGGGATTTTTCATGAAATTTTAACCTACTTTTGGTGACCTCCAGTAACCTTAGCAATAACCTGGTCCATAGAGAAAATGACCTCAATATTTGACAGATCTTATAGCAAGCCCAACTATTGCTTTTTCCTACATCCTTCTAGCTTTCTTAGTTTCCAAGATAACCGAACCGAGTGTGGCCTAATACAGAGTTGACCCACACCATGGTTAAGTTGGTTGAGACTTGGCCACCAGAGCACAGGTTAAAGTGACCATTAGTAGACCATTAGTGACCACCTTCACATTAGTTTTGAGTTGAGATAGCCAAATTGGTGGCCATGGCCTGCGCCCTGCAAATACCGGTTTGGGCACTCACAATATCGAAAAATGCTTTAATTCGGAAACATGGAACTTGCAGTTTTCGGATTCTAAGGGGCTAATGCATCGGAATGCCCCCTTAGAATTTGTGACGTCAGCGGAGATCTAGAGATTTCTAAATCATAGACTAAAACCATCATCAGCACATGTGGTAATTGGTATGCACTGCTTTGTGCGCAACATCTGCTCTGCCGCACTCCAAAGCTGCCAAACTATTGCTTCCAAATAAGTTACTAGGAACTGAGCGGAGATCCCAATAGTAAACAAAAGAAAAAGCCTAATATCTTGAAAACTAGGTACCTAGTGAATATTTCTTTGTTGAAATTTGGTAGACATTCAATATTGATCTTTCCAAACCAAACCAAACCAAAGGACATCACTTTTAGGCCAATTCATTAATTTTTTTGAGGGTGGGAGGGTCCCTTTAACTAACGACGATTGGCCATGTTTAACAAGGTCTTTCATACCTATCTCCACGCCGAGGGTTGAGACCTCACTTGGGCAGCCTCTCCTCCACTGAGTAGACTCAGGGAGGTTCACAAGTTGGAGCACGCGATGACTGCGGCACGGCAGGGACGTCTCGTGATGACTGCGGCAGGGACGTCTCGTCCTGAAACCTAGCTCTGCCGCAGGGCGAATCTGCTGCTAGATTGACCTGCGTGCCAACTAAATTCGATAATCGTCCTTAGCCAAAAATTCTGCAGCTGCCCTGCGCTGAAAATTCAGCCGCCGCCATGTGCTGAAATTGAATTCAGAGCATATAAAGTTACGCCGGACATGCACGGAAATCTTCAGCGCAATCCCACCATGTCGTAGGTACATATTCGGCATAACATGTATTTTTCCAGTCTGGCTCAGAAGTGGGCACTGCCCAGTCAGCACAACAGTTCAACCGCCTCTGCATCACAAAGGTTATGCCCATAACAAACAATAGGTTCACTTACCTGGTAATAGGTAATAGGTAATAGGTAATCCATGCAGAATAAAACTCAAATGTAACAATTTAATGGGTAAGCTGAAGAGGCGGATTCCATGGCTGCAGATGAAGAAAGGTGGCAAAGTTTAGCAATTAGTTCTTAACAGCAAAGCGTTGAAGACTTGAAATTTCATTCTTTACTTTGACTTACCCGGAGCAGTAGCCCGATCCCGATAAATGTCGATGTTGGTCAGACAGCGACAAAGATTGAAATGGAAGCCAGAGCAATTTTTACATAAAACGCGATATTAGCCAACAGTGTGAGGAGCTGGTAATCAAGTGCGTAGATCTTAAACTATTATAATTTATAATCGAAGGGGTTGCCAAGCTGTCAACCAACCAGAAAAAAACGCATCCAAACAGCCGACCCCCACCGGACACGATTTGGTAGCCGAGGTCTGTGACGTCAGCCGGGCGTGAAGTTTTCCCTTCACCATAGGCTTCACACACAAACTGGCCGAAGTTCATGCCAGGATAGCCCGGCTTGAAAGTGCAAAAATGATTACATTTTGCCCTCAATAGATTCATTGCTTCATTTTATAACTAAAAACGTCCGTTATTAGGCCTCAATGAAGGTAAAAAGTACTCAAAATCGAAGTTCAAGAAGATGCTGTCCGAGCACAATCTGGTAACATCACGTGACCTCTTTTAAGCAGAATGTATATAATTCAAGGATGTTATTACACGATTGCTGCCTAAAACATCATAAATAATACGCTTGTAACATTTATTGCTTCTGTTTAAGTCATAACATTGCAAAACGCAAAGTTTATCATGGCAGTCACGTGACCAAAGGTATAGCAGGGGTTGAGACAAGCACTCAAAGGATTTCAAGTTTTTTAATTAAATTATATAAGTTTCATGATGAAATTGAAAGAATGTATTTTTTACTAATGAAATACAAATTTTCGTATGTAAAATATTTGCCTTATGGGCGAAATTCTCCATATAAGAAATGTCAGTGACGTCACCAGGGCTTTACTCAAAACATCCGACCAACATCCGACCTACCTGTTTCTTATAGGTATCTTGCAAACAGCTCAACTTCGATCCAAGATGGCCGCCGTTGTGCGCCATTGCGCAGTGTTGCCTATCGATGCGCGTTTTCTTGCTTGTCCAATGTTGAAAAAATGACGCATATATTAATAAGTTTGACTTTTTTGAGTAATTCAGTGTTTTAAGTTTAAATCTTATAATATTTTATGCGATTTGAATATACTATTACATTTTTATAGGGCAAAATATCAGCAACACATTGGAAAATAAACACAAAACGAATACATTTTTAAACGTCATCAAACTCAAAGGGAAATATTTATGAAACATTTCATTTTAAGAAAGAAGTTACGTCATAAGCTCAAATAGATGAGACGGAAGCTTGTTTAAATAATTCAACTTTTTCAACTACTTTCAGGCTTTCTAGCACTCTGTCTACATTACTTACGATTTCTTAACACATGAATCGCCAAGTTTTTAAATTTAGCAGAAATCAATAACGTCGGTCAAAAACAACACACAGAATCTTATGACGTCAATTAAAACGATCGAAGAAAACAACCGAATTTGATTTCATCTTGTATTTTTAGCAATCTTGATCTTCGATGAGTAACAATCGGTAACAACGGTAACAACGGACAAGGCCACAGCGCCTTGCCACAACGGAGAGGTTTCAACACGGTATATCACGGTATATTTCTCTCTGAAAAAGAGAAATAGTTTCCAGGGTCTCTCTACCAGGGACTTTATGGCAAGTGGTGGCCTTGCATAGGTACACTGGTATATAGGGCCTTGGGTACGCTGCGTTTTGTTATATGCGACCGTCGATTGTGAATAGTTGTGGGTTTCCTTCTTGTTCTTGCTTTTGGTCTGGATTTGCATTAACTGGTTAGGTACTGACCTGGGCCTGGTTGGGGTGTAGCTTGACAGCTTTTCTGCCTTCTTGATCAATGATCTGATGCAGTGTAATTTACTTGCTTACTAACTTAAGAGGGCTGTTCACAGGCCCTGTGTGAGGTCGGACCGCACACAGCCTCCAAGCTCCGCCCACTGCGTCCCTACGTCAGCCTTCCGTCACCGCACACAGCGACCACTGTGGCCGGCCACAGGAAACCGTCTACCGCATGCAGCCGTGACGTCAGAACCGCCTACCCATCCCCTACCCCCACGCCTGCTGGACCCACCGCACACACCGCACGCAGCAGTGTGCGGTGCCCGTGAACAGCCCTAAGATTCAATGTAAATTTTGAGAGGCTAGTGGCCTATCCCCTAGTGTCCACTCCAGTCGAGTTTGTGAGTGATAGTGTTACTGATTGTGTGTAATTGTGAGTGTGAAACTTCATGCAGTGCACTGTCTTTTTGTTGTGTCCCCTGGTTGAACTGCCTATCATTATTATTGCAATGTTTTGTCAATATTTTTACCAGCATGCTGCCAGCTAGCTGGCATTTTTTGGCTTCTCGAATTTATTCAAATGGGCGACAGCTGACAGTTCACCGATAACAGGCCAAGGAATGCCAGCAATGAACTTCGATAGATGAAGTAAAAAAGTGGAAGTGAAGTGTAACACTGGCAGCATGGTGATAAAAACAAACATCATACAGTGTGCTGGTTTCTATGTCTGATCATCATGCCTGTTTTTTTTTTTACCACCAGAGTAGTCCAGAGGTTTTAGCACTCAACCTCTGCTATAATGTCGAGTCCAGTCAGCTCTGAACAGACCAAGACCAAGAGGCCATCAAGCAGCAAGTTTCGCCAGCAGCAACTGCCGGCCTGGCAACCGATCCTCACTGCAGGCACGGTTCTGCCCACATTCTTTGTCATTGGCGTTGCCTTTATCCCAGTAGGCATTGCACTGCTGACCTTCTCTGGCAATGTTCAGGAGGTGGTGAAGGAGTACACCCAGTGCAACAGCATAGATCCGGCACATAACAATGCCACCTGCGACGAGGTGCTGAGCAGCCCGAATCACACAGCTGCTTCACCCTGCACGTGCCACATCAATTTCAACGTCACAGAGAGTCTCAATGGCCGTGTGTACATGTACTATGGTCTGACCAACTTTTATCAGAATCACCGGCGTTACGTCAAGTCTCGCGATGTCAACCAGCTCATGGGCCAGACGGACTCGGCACTCTCCGACTGCAGTCCGTTCGCGACCGCCGATAAGAAACCCATCGCACCGTGCGGAGCCATCGCCAACAGCCTCTTCAATGACACCTTCGAGCTGAAGATGCTGTCTTCTGCGGGCGCGGAGCTCGCCGTGCCTCTGGTGCGCACGGGAATCGCCTGGCCGTCGGATAAAAAGTACAAGTTTGAGGTGAGATTCCTGGGGCCAGAATGCTGGATGGGAGACAATGTTGATTTGGAAAGGTTTTGATTTTGGTTTTTGACAGAGGCGTTTTACCTTACTCTTCATATTTTTGGCAATTTATTTCTCATCTATTTTCCCGGAATATAATTATTTTCCGTGTGCTCTAACGATCATTTGAAGATATATTATGTATTTTGTTCAACATGAAATGGGCCTTTAGCTAGGCTATCAGTCCCAGCAGCGCATGCTCCTCTCAAATACTATACGTGTAGTCACTTTGATAATGTCGTTATCCGACGTGTGCATTTGCCGTCTCCCACGCTGTTTGACGACCTCTTGCTCTAAAGTTGCTTAGGTGCAATTATGCCAATACTATAGATCAGTTAGGTATCCATGCATTCTGCTCAATGCTTATGCTTTATGAGTTGTGCTTCCCACTTCTGGTTTCTAGAAGGGTGAGCTTACTTTCTTACGATTTTGTTAGAAATGATTGTGTTTTATGGTTAGTTAATATCTTGGCTGATGGCTCTCAGCCTTCCGTGCAAAAGTGCTCCTTATCGGCTAATATCCAAACTTGTGTCGGAAATGCCGTTGATGCGTGGCTCGGATATCTGTAAGAATCTTGGTTCGGAGTTAATGAGCTTGGTACCACAGTCGACTGAAATGCTAGCTGCCGTGATCATCCAGAGTATGCGAAAGGAAATGGGCTGGTATGGTAGTGCTTCGGCCGGTATCGGTGACCGCTATTTAGGTTTTACCTTAGCCCCAACCCTTGTACGGGCCTGGGGTAAGTCTTAGCTCATTCGGGACTCGTGACTGGAGGGGCTGGGACTGGTCCTGTGAACTATTACGCATGGGTAGGTCTTACCTTGCAAGTATAGTTACTTTATTTAAACAAAAAAAAAAAAAACGGACAACTGAGAGGCTCAGGCACAGCCACCGTCGTCTGCTACCCTTAAAACCCTCATCAGAATCAGGAGCGTGGCCATAGCTTCGGCAAAATTTGTCTTTTTAGGGCCAACGAACGTAATACCTATTATTCAGCAAGTGGACGTCGAGCATGACTTTGAGCCGTGCAATGTTGGCTCCGATTCCGTAGTCAGAGTCGGTCAGATTTTGGCGACTCAAACTCAGGCGCAGACTACGGGTAGAACTGTCGGCTGCAACCGACTCCGACTCTGCGGCCTGCTTTACCAATCGCTGAACGAATAATTTTCCGCTAGCCCGTCGAATGAAGATTGTCTCACGATCGGTCCAGTTTGTGAATATTGCATATGAATTAAGGCGGTATCAAGGGGTCATGCATTGTAAGTAGTTTCGAACCGAAGCGGAGAATGTTCCGTGGACGCGAGGAGGGCCATGCCGGACGCTGCCGTGAGACACGTGACAGGTCTTGGTGTGAGGCTCATTGAAATTCAGTGCTTCTATCCTTCACACCAGCGCGGCGGAGAGAGGCGGTTTGTACCGCGTTCCGCCCTAACTCAATTTGCGCCTGTAAATACGCAGCGTTGTGTGGAGTAAAGGTAATATAAACAGTACGTTCTTCTCGGCTTCCCGGCAGGTGCTAATTGGCTGTTCCCTCTTAGCACTGATGGACAGACGTTATACGCCAGTCGGTGTCGCACATATACCTATGTGCCAACGAGCGTCCCGCGTATCCACGCTTTCACACCCGGTTTTATGAGGATTTGTGATGGAAAACGTTTATATGTGTTATGGTGTAAATCAGAATGGTACGCAGTTGTTCGAGTCGGATAGGACACGCAGCTGTGCAGTGCGAACTTTTATGGAATGAACACGGCTTAAGACGAAATGCTGATCCCCCCTCCCCGGGTCTCCCCCTCCCTGTGTCCACGGGTCCCGAACGGGCGCCGTCCGTGGCCACACACGGGTCCCGAGCGGGCACCGCCGAGCGGAGAGCCAGCTGTTATCGATCGTCGGGCGGGGCGCGACCGGCCGTGACGGCAATATGGGCCGATCGCTGACGTGCTGTCTGTAAATGATCCAATCTGAAATTGCGGGGATGATTCTCTTGTGAGCTAGTTATTAGTAGATTGAGTTATGTTCCAACATTTGCGAAATTTTTATTTCTTGATTTCTGCCCTTCTTGGTACATCCTAGGAATCGATTTTCACGCTGTTAGGAGAAAAAAATCGTTGTTTTCGTCTTGTGTGGGTCGCTGGACCGTGATGCTCTGTAACGCTCTGAATGGGGGACTATATTGGGTCGAACTGCCGGGATGGCCGTGTCTATGCGACGATGTCAACAGATCGATCACTCGAGGCGCAGCCTACATACCGCGCTAAAGCAGAGGCTAATAGCACGACGATTGGGCTGAAGGTCATGGTGGTTTTCCGGCAACTGTCGGTTCTAGATTGATGATAAATTTCCTGATTTATTTTCGAGCCCGTTAATGTGCCACAAATACGCAACTTGAACTTCAAATAAGGGTTCTTGCCTGCCATTTACTTGTATTAATGTTGGGATGTTCAACATGTTTATGCTTTTTTATTCATATGAAATGGGGTAGGTAATATGAATGGCTTCAGTCCCTCAGATAATTTACGAATTTTGAATACCTTTGACCGTTTATTGTGCATCTCCCCGACGCTGCCTGAATGTGCTGTATCACGTGCCACAACCCCCTCTCCTCCCCCTCTGGACCCATCGCTGACCGTGCCCGGCCGCCGGCAGAACCCTCCGGGCCCGCTGACCGCCGACGGCGCCTTCAAGAACACCGCGAAGCCGGTCAACTGGAAGCGCGCCGTGTACGAGCTGGACCCGGCGCACCCGGACAACAACGGTTACGAGAACGAGGACCTGATCGTGTGGATGCGCACTGCCGCGCTGCCCACCTTCCGCAAACTGTGGGCGCGCGTCAACGAGTCGGCCGAGACGTTCAAACACAGCCTGCCGGCCGGCGAGTACCGCATCGTCGTCAGCTACGCCTACCCGGTGACGTCGTTCGGCGGCACCAAGCGCATCATCCTGTCCACCACGTCGCTGCTGGGCGGCAAGAACCCGTTCCTGGGCGTGGCGTACATCGTGGTCGGCTGCATCTGCCTGGTGCTTGGCGTGGCGTTCCTGATCATCCACGTCAAGTACGGCAAGCGGGGAACGGATACCATCACCAACCGCACCGACTGGTCCGGTCACTAAGGGCCCGTCCCCGACCGGCTGCACCCGCTGCAGGTGGGCCGTGACGACAGCGGCAGGGGCCAGTGACGTCACAGGTGGGCGGGGCTCACCGGTCCTGGCGGGGCTCCCCGGTTCTGATAGCGGCTTAGGAAAGGGTGACCGATAAGGAGCAGTTCCGGAGGAAATGGTGGGTCTGTAATCCAAGGAAGGGGGCACACTCAATGGTTATTGTAAGTAACGGCACGTCTGGTCTGATGTGCTTGATCAGAGGCGCTGAAAAAATAGGTAATGCTTCAGCGGTTGCCATTATTTGAAAGAACTTTACTGCGTATGCACCGCCAATTCTGGTTCTAATTTGTCGTCGGTCCCTTTTACGTTACTATAGTTCGTTTTTCTTAAGTTTGCCCCTCACTGTAAACGTCTTTTTGAACACAGCACGAGAATTGCTAGCTGAATTACTGAGAAAACTGGTTGGTGCACATTGTATTGGATATATGAATAATATTTTCAAAATAAGTTTTGAACACAGACGATGTAACGTTAATGTTAAACGCTGTGCAATTTATTAATTAGTTCAGACATAATTCCTGAGAAGTCGTCTATCACTGTGGAGCCGTAGGTATGGGTAAATACGAGCTATGAGTCTGTGAAATAGTAAACAAATTTGATAAAATTGATCGTCTGTGAAATCTGGTGAAATCAATGTGCGCCAACCAGTTTTCTCAGTAATTCAGCTAGCAATTCTCGTGCTGTGTTCAAAAAGACGTTTACAGTGAGGGGCAAACTTAAGAAAAACGAACTATACGACGTTATCAAAACCTAACTGAAACCGAGAAGTGCGCATGTATGCACGAGCCACTTATTTCATACTATCGGTACGTGGGATATCACGTCACCGCTAAGAACTCGGCAGTTGCCAATATTGCTGTCAGTGCCATCGCACGGAAAACCCTAGCCTCGGGCGGATTTTGCCTGAACATGTCCCCTGAATCGCTGTCGCCCTCTATTGCGATGTGGCTGCACTATCAGAACGCCGCAGTCTCACGCCACCTCGTAATACCGAAGTCCCTGACGAAGGCAGAAGGTGTGATCAATGTTATGATAGGTTACACGGTTTATCCGAGCTATATACAATTGCTAGGAGTGTCGTCCCGTTCATGAATGTTCCGGTGTTGATTGAAGCGTTCACGCACACTGCTAGAACTGCTTGTGATTCGTACTAAGCGAGACACTGGGTTGTGAAGAGGCTTACAGCTGGGTTTACCTGGATGGAATTTAGTGAATTTTCCTATTTTATCAGCTTTTTCTAGAAAGCAATTAAAAGAGTCCAGTTTATATCGGTAGAACTCAGCCAAAAACCAGATTAAATCGGGTAGTAACCAAAGTAGTACTTCATTGGTATGATTTGGAGGAAAGTTCTGTTGTATAGTCAAATCCCTCCGGGGCAAAATTATCGCTCCATATTGTCATATTCATTGCGCAACACATCGGCTATTCGTTCTGGTCCTCCATGTTCCCTCAGTTAGGTAAAGCAGTTGTCAAGTTCAGTCTTCACGTCCTGCACATGTGTGCGCTGGGTATGTGATTATTGTGACGCTGGTGGAGCTCTTGGCGTGCCTTGGTGTGCTGTTTGTATATCGACGTTGAACTGAATGTCCCTCTTACCACCTCTTACTACATTTAAGTACTTGTGATGATTTATATTTACTTTGTCGCTGCCATCAACGATCATTTCACTGATAATGTAGCTAATCCTGTATTCATGTGCGCTATATATTCTTGCGATAAATGTGCCAGTTTTTGAGACCTTGCCAGATATTTTTCCCTAGATGTTATATTTATCAGACGAGCGGTCTTTAGGAGCAATGCTATGTTAATCCGAACCACGTAATTATATGTCGGAAAACACTGACAGCCTACACTCACTAATTTAGAAAAATAGACCGGGTTGTAGGTAACGAAATTTATTCCTCTTTACGTGAGCCAAAGTCGATGTTTACGTCTATCAAATTTCAACACCTGTCACGTGTCATAAGGTTGAATCAGTGTTACTACGCGTTACTTGCGTGTCTTATGGCGTCGTCCTTCGCACGTACTTAAGACTACTGAATCATGCACGATGTTAGTGAGCCTAACGAGGCTTCCGCGCTATAATTAAGTTTCAAGTTTCAATATCTGACGTGTAATATAACGAAGTAGTTTGCTTGTAGTAACTTCTGTAATCCGTGCCCAAGAGACCGCAATTCACCGCATATATGACTGTTACATGTTTAGCAACGGTAGGTAGTTCATGTTGTCGCCTTCAATGAGCAGAAATGTACCCGTTCTTTGCGAGTTATATGTAGGATTGAGGTATTGGCAGTAGTGGTACAGTAAATTCGTACATCCTTGGTTAGCCAATGCTAGGTATCCGTAGGTGTATCGGTAGATCGCGAGTCAACGACGCCTCGTCCGAGGCTGACGTGATTGCTGCAACTAGCTGATCATTGCTTTACCGCTTTGGATGAATTGCTTCTGTTAGGGTGATATATGTGATTGCGTTCGTCCGCTAGATGTATAATTTAACTGTGATCAGTCAGCACGTGAGTCGCGACAAACCATTTTTGCACCAATAAACTTTATTTCCGTGAGAAGCCTGTGTCACTACGGCGATAAACATTCAAAAACACCGCTTTGCGACCAGTCGTCTCACATTCGCTCACACTTGTACCAATCCATAACACTCTCCGCTCGAACTTTCTCCCAGTAATCATGACCGCCACCGACGTGACCTTTCTGCCCGCAGTTCAGGGAAGGGGTGAGCCGCGCCGGGGGGCGGCGTGCGATCGCCGGACTCGCGTGCGCCGCCTACTTGGGTCCCAGCATATCCTCGGGCCGCACCCACTCGTCGAACTGCGCCTCGGTCAGGTAGCCGAGCCTGATGGCGGTGGCGCGCAGCGTGGAGCCCTCCTTGTGCGCCGTCTTGGCGATGTGCGCCGCCTTGTCGTAGCCGATGTGCGGGTTGAGCGCCGTCACCAGCATCAGGCTCTCGTGCAGGAGCTGGTCGACGCGCGACCGGTTCACCTCGATGCCGACCACGCACTTGTCGGTGAACGCCTGGCACGAGTCTCCGAGCAGCCGGATCGAGCGCAGCACGTTGGCCACCATCATCGGCTTGAAGACGTTCAGCTCGAAGTGGCCGTTGCTGCCGCCGACGCTGACTGCCACGTGGTTACCCATCACCTGCGCCGCCACCATGGTGATGGCCTCGCACTGGGTCGGGTTCACCTTGCCCGGCATGATGGAGCTGCCCGGCTCGTTCTCGGGCAGCGAGAGCTCGCCGAGGCCGCACCGCGGGCCAGACGCCAGGAAGCGCAGGTCGTTGGCGATCTTCATGATGCTGCAGGCGATGACGTTCAGCGCGCCCGAGACCTCCACCAGAGCGTCATGGGCAGCCAGAGCCTCAAACTTGTTGGGAGCAGTGACAAATGGGAGGCCAGTGAGGCTTGACACCTTGTCAGCAATCTTCTCAGCAAAGCCCTTCCTTGTGTTGAGGCCGGTGCCCACAGCAGTGCCGCCAGCAGCCAGCATGTACACCCTGGGCAGGGTGGCCTTGATGCGCTCAATGCCGAAGGCCAGTTGAGTGACATAGCCACTGAACTCCTGGCCCAGGGTGAGGGGAGTAGCATCCTGTGTGTGGGTTCTGCCAATCTTCACAATGTCTGCATATTCTTTGGCTTTGGCATCCAGTGCATCATGCAGCTTCTGCATGCTGGGCAGCAGGGTGTTGTGAATCTCCACAGCCACAGCAATGTGCATAGCCGTAGGATACGTGTCATTGGAGCTCTGGCTCTTGTTCACATGGTCATTTGGATGGACAGGCTTTTTGCTACCAAGCTCACCACCAAGCATCTCAATTGCTCTGTTGGCAATAACTTCATTTGTGTTCATGTTGGACTGGGTTCCAGAGCCTGTCTGCCAGATGACGAGTGGGAAATGATCCTCGTAGAGTTTGCCACTGATAACTTCATCCGCAGCCTTGGAGATAGCATCAGCAACTTTGGGGTCCAACCCAAACTCCTTGTTCACCTCAGCAGCAGCCTTTTTCAGAACACCAAATGCCTTGATGACAGGTTCTGGCATTCTTTCATTGGTTCCTCCAATGGGAAAGTTAAGCATGGATCTCTTTGTTTGAGCACCATAATATTTTTCAGCAGGCACTTCAAGCTCACCAAAGGTATCAGACTCCTTCCTCACTCCCTTGGAAGCCATGATGCTGGACGTGCTGAATGCCTGACCGGTTTTCCAGCTCCAGGCGGACACTGCCCGCCCAGATCCCCTCAGGCTACCTGATAACGCCATCTGTAATGCTTTACGGAGCACGGGCACACCAATCACGGCGCCTGGATACGGCCTCTCACTGGCTGGCTTAGTCACGGTTGGTTGCTGGGCCAAATCGGTGTCAAGTGTTCGTAATGGCAGGCGGTATGCAGCTTCAGTACCGACCTTTCAGTTCCAGCCGACAGGGGCACAGCAGGAGGTCGTTTATAGACAGGCGAAATGAAAACTTGGCGATATGCCAAGAGAAAAAAGTAGATGACAAGAGTCTTGTCTTAAACGATCAGCACAGAAAATCCTTGAATTATTTGGAAAATTAACGGCAAACTTCTTTCTACCTTAGCGCAAATATTGTGTAATAATTTAAAAGAACCTTTAAAAAATACAATGAAAAATACGCTCAGTATAATGTAAGTGTGCGCCGATTTTGTAACTACCTAGCATCTTTTGTCGGCATGAAAAGCTGGCAGCTCTTGGCATAGAAATAACTTCATCACGTACAAAATGGTATTTTCATTTTGTTCACTTTTCAACAATGTCAATCAAAATTTCGTTTCTACTGTAAAAATAGGTTTAATGAATTACCTAATTTCACTTATCCGCATGATTTAACCAGATAATCGTCAAAAATCATTTTCATCCCAAAACGAGGGCAAAGGATTTTATCCTTCCACTCGATTTGGTAGCCTATTTAAAGTGAAATACATTTCTTGCGTGTCCAAGACGAAATATCGGCGGAAAAAATGTTTCGTTGAGCGTTTTCGGTTGACGATCATCGATAACGATTATGGCTTTCGCTGTATCTGTGTGATCATTGGGATGCATCGGCCGGGATAATATGCGATTTTGAGTGGGATGTCGTTGTTTTTCAGCACCTAGTTTCAACAACTTGCAATGAATAAGGTAAGGATTGTATAATTGTTTTTGAATGACCTCCTTACAAAATTATACTTTTCATTCATGCATTTTTGTTTTAGATGAATTTTCGGCCACGGGCCATGATCACATCAATGCCAAAAAATAAGAATATGATACAAATTAGGTACAAGTCGAATCATCATCAGTTTCTACTTTCCACTTTTCGCGTGATAAGAATGACAGGTACTTTCACACTTGGCAATGGTTACACTCGTTTGTATTGTATTGTATTGTATTGATGATTGTATGGATGATTATTGTTATTTCAATTTAGATCAAACCGCATGAGGCATGAAATTTGCACCGCATGCCGATAAAGATGCTTAGAGAAAGGAATAAAAAAGATGAGTTGGGAAGATAATTAACTCAATCCAATAGCCTGACATAATGTTACTCTTTGCTTATTATGCCTATTATACATTCAGTCATTGCTGTGATGCTAACTTATGTTTTGTTCCCATTCAGACTGGGAAAATACATGCCAAGCAGAATATGTACGACAGTGGGTGGATTGCGCATAGAATGTTGGCACAAATCTGGTGTAACCTCACATGTGCCTAATTCAGTGTATGACAACTGCAAAGTTTTTTTGTGCATGGGGCCACCATTTTTTGCATGCTTATCTAATTAGCAGCAGATAAGTATATATTAATCTGTTACTTTGTTATCATGGCAACTAGGTGGTGGGTAGCCGCAGGTCGCAAGACAGCTGGAACACATCCCTGATCCCTTTACCAATTTTTATGGCCTGATAGGTAAGCAATCTATGTGGCCCACTGTAGTCTCTGTCTGGTTGATTAGCCTTAATCAGTAGGTGTACACATGTCCTTTATGTAAAAGTGGCTTGATTTTGGTGCAAATAGGCATCCAACTTCTGCCACAAATCACATTGAAATTGAAATTTCAGTACAAAATCACTTGTGCTCAATTTTGGCACATAAGTGTCTCATGGGCATCTGGTGTAGTGTATGGATGTTTTCCAGTCTGGGCTATTATTGGCCGTTGCACCTCCCAAAATAAGTGATAGAAGTTTTGAGGAGTTTAGAAGAGCACTGTTTTCAGACAGTCACTGGAACATTTCTGAGAGGATAGCTGTGCAGGTGTGTGCAGGCAGTACAGTGGACAATTTATGACCAACCAATATTTATTGTGAGGTTAATACCATTTTTACATAAAAACTTATGGAAAAAAGAAATGCTATTTGAAAGTGCCTTTGCCATAGCTTCCTCTAACCCCACTAATATTTCCATACCACTAAATTATTGTCATTTATCAGCCATCTGTCTACTTTAGCCTCCCCCAGGAAGGAAACTTTTGTTTGGGATGAGGAAAGGAGAATAGTGGTGCCCATGGTGGTGTGGTGAGAGGAGCTAGGAGGAGCAATGGAAGCCATTTTTAAATGGGAGGAGGATGGAGAAGTGTAGAGGAGGTTAGGTGTGGGGCAGGAACAGTCCCCTTGTCTTAGGCCTCCTCACATAGGTATATGATCATTTACTACCCTGGTGAAGCAGTGCATAATCTCAGACACAGCCAGATAGCAGCACTTCATATCACCAGATTAGCACTAGTATTTGTGATGTTATCATTACTTGCCCATCCATATTTTAAGAAAAGTATGGGAAGGAACTTTACAGGTGTGATGATGATCTTGTTTGACACACTTAACCTTGATATGCATGTGTCATCTCTTAGGAGTCATTATTTTTGTTAGCCTTACAACCATCCTGCCATGTTTTGACCAAGAGTTATTGCATACTGGAAAAAAAAAAAACAGTTGACTCCATAAATAGATAGATGTCTTGAACAGAAAGCAGTGCTCTCTTGTTCAGTCTGTCAATGCAGTCTGCCTAAGTATTTGTCCAGGCTGTCAATGCAGTCTGCCTGAATCCTGGATACCAGCAAGGATGGTATCCAGGATTTAGGAGGATACCATCTTCCCAAAGCCCAAAGTGTCTCAAAATACCTCGAATATATTGTATTCCAGTACTTAGTGTTAGTATATCTGTATCATATAGCATCACATACATTCTGAATTTAATGTAGGATGGGTTGTAAAACCCCTGAACTTCCTGTCACAATCATGGCCCCCATTCATGCTCATTCTGTCCCGTAGCAGCCGCCTGGTGGCGCCCCGATGGGCGGAGGAGGCGGCAAACAGGGCTCTGGCCCTTCCCAGCAGCACCACCATGGAGCTATCAACCTGACCAAGTCAGAGGAGTCGGCCCCGCCGGCCACCACGGTCAGTGTCGTCCAGGGGTAGAGCTGATGACAGCGGTCACTAGTCAGGTTGTGTGGGGACTGGGGATGCCCTGTACTCCCAAGTGTGCATTGTGCCGCTGAATTGAACAGTGGTGTATTTGCAGTTTTGCTTGGCTGTATGGACTAATTTTCATAAAGGTAGGTATAGTAGAAGATGGGAAATCACTTCAGCTTTCAGCGTTATGTCCGTGCTCTGGGCTTTGCTCAATATTTGTAACCCTGTTCATGAATCCTCATGCTTTCGTCACCCTTCATTTGCATTCCTCACCCACACGATCCAGACTCCCATCACACTGGCCCTCTCTCCCCGGCAGGCGTGGCTGACCTCCAGCAGCTGGTCAGCCGCCAGCAGCAGCGGCACCAGCAGCAGTAGCAGCACGGCCGGCGGCGGGGCCGGTGTGTCTCTGACCACCGCCGCGCCGCGGCCGGCGCCCGTGCGCGCCTCCACACACAACCTGGTGGCGCTGTCGCAGCCGACGGGCGCCGGCCAGAAGCCAGGTGGGTCTGAGTCGAGGGGAGGGAGGAGGGTGGATTGTCTGGCAAGGATAGCAGGACGTAGAATACTGCTGTTTTTCACTGTCGAACGGTTGATGGAAGCTGGGGTGCGTCATCTATGTCATGAGAGTGATGAAATAGGCGATAGGTCACAAACGATTTGATGAAATGATTACTCGGTTATGTAATCACTTTTGTCCTCAACTTGCTTGATTTTGAACCAAAAATCGACGCTAATAGCTTCATCACCTAACCCACACTCAAACGTCATAGTTTTGACCGACACTGGATCCTCTGCAATGCCAATGTATCGTCTACACATTCACTGTGTGTAGATTATCCCTGCCCTTCCCGACCCTGCTGAACCCACTCTCTCTCCGTGTGCAGAGGCGGTGGCCGTGCTGGGTCACCAAGGCCTGCTGACAGTGTCACGCTCAGCAGTCGGCGTACAGGGCAGCGGCGGCACCATCGCGCTGATGACACCGGTCATGTCACGTGCCGGATCCACGCAGAGTGGCACCCACCTGCAGCCCACCGCCTACCATCTGGCCAGAGGTCGGTACAGGATGGGGGGCAGCTGGTCAGGGGCCAGGGGTCGGTACAGGATGGCGGGGAGCTAGTCAGGGGCCAGGGGTCGGTACAGGATGGGGAGCAGCTAGTCAGGGGCCAGAACAGTATGGAGAGGTGGTCAGGGATCGGTACAGGAGGTTGACCTGGTCAAGTGTTAGCATGATTGCCAGTATGGGTTCCGACCGTTTTTTTTTTATTATCGGCATTTTCAATTATGTATATTTTGTCGTATACCGCATACCATGAGGTGTATCAACATATCCGACAGTTTGTTGTAATATAGTGACCTCACAGGTGACCGAGTGTGGTCTCCCGTGACCTTGCGGTGACCCATGTCGCCCGCAGGCTCCGGCTCGGCCGGCCGCGGGCCCCTCCCCTTGTGTAGCTAAGTAGTGAGTATGACCTCCCGTGACCTTGTGGTGACCCCTGTGACTCCTGTCGCCGCAGGCTCCGGCTCGGCCGGGTCCTCCCCTTGTGTAGCTAAGTAGTGAGTATGACCTCCCGTGACCTTGTGGTGACCACCTGGTGACCCCTGTCGCCCGCAGGCACCGGCTCGGCCGGGTCCTCTCCGCGGGTGATTGGCCCCCAGGCGGTGCGGGTCGGACACCTGCCCATCTCGAGTATAGTCGGCACCGGCGCCCACTCAGTCAGGTAAGGATAGAGGAAACGGGGGAATGGGAGAGGGAAGTCGTCAGGATGAGGGGAGAATGCCTGTGTCAGAGGCAGTGTGGGAAAGAGGGAAGGAAACGTGATTGGAAGGGAATGCGAAATAGAGGCAGATGTCGTTTTAGTGTTATTTGACATTCATGAAGGGGTCAGGTATTGTCCGTGATTTTGTGATTAGTTATAGTCACTTTTGATGAGTGTTTATGACCCTGTCACCCTTGCTTGACCTTGTGGTCCTTCCCTTACCCCTCCCCAGTTACCAGGTGAGCCACCGGGCGATGACCCCGACCTCTGTGACTCCCCCTCCCCCTCCCCAGTTACCAGGTGAGCCACCGGGCGATGACCCCGACCTCTCTCCCTGCCGGCCTGGTCGTACCGGTGAGCTCCATCGGCGGCGCGCAGCCCGTCCTGCTGCGAGCCGCACCCGCCGCGCCCAGCCAAGGTGCGTGGCATGGAGGGATCTCAGGGCTACTAGAGGCCGGAGGGTACTGGGAGGGATTTCCAGCCGTCTGAGTGTGCCCCGGAACGGAAATCTTTCTCACCTTTTTTGTGCATTGATGTGGTGTCATCCAAATATTCAGCATTCACGGCATTTGCACGGTGATCTTTTTCGGTTTACTCTGTATGCTTAATTTTAACGCATTCCAGTCACTCCTTTCAAAATAGCCATCATACTATTCACTCATAACTTAACCTCGTCGACTACCTAGCCTGACATGACTTGGACGACTAACCGAGCTGTGCTTCCCTCTTCTACAGCGGGCGTCGCGACCAAGACGGCTGCCAAGGCCGCCAAGCTGTCCACTGTGACCATGTCGGCCGGGGGAGCGGTCAGGGCTGCCGGCCCGGCGCGGGTCACCGTCGGACACACAGGTCGGTGGTTTGATACGAGCTGGCCTGATCTGACCTGGTTGGATCAGCAGCTGTGGTATGACCTGACCTTACCAAACCGAAACACATACAGATCAAGGGCTGGTCTGACAGGCTCTGACTTCATATTTTCATTGCCTTTATTTTTTTCTTTTTTTAGAGATAAGTTAACAGTGCGTAAGTAGTTCCATTCGTTTGTTTCGTTATGGTTCAGTATAACAAATATATCGTATTTTCATCATGCTACAGAAGTTTTCAGTGCTCCTTACGGCCTACGTTGTAATTCTCACCGCTAACATCATATTGTGTTACGTGGGTACTTCTCCCTCTGACCCGTACCCTGGCCGTGTGGCAGGGAGCGGCGCTCGCACCGTGTCGCCCCAGGCGCGGCTGGTCAGCCCGTCGGGCGGTGCGGCGCCCCGTCCCCTACACATCACCCATATCGCCGCTGAGAAGGTGCCCCGCGCGCTGGCCGGCGCCGCCACCACCCTGCGGCAGAGCGGCCCGATCACATACTCAATGTGAGTGGAGACGAGGGGAGACTGGGGTGGGACGGGATTGAACAGGGGTTTAGTCTTAGTGGTGATTTCAGTAAACGCTTCATGAATGTCGTTGGACCGCCTCTGTGAATAGTCACAGCCGGGCGTCAGAATGAATCCTTTTCCGGCTGCACATATCTGAACTATTCAGCATGCATGTTTGCATTTGTAATGCATGCATGTCTACGTGACCATGTACTAAGGATGCATATTTACGTGCATTTAGACGTTAATTGAGTAGGCTGGTGTTTTTCGTCATAAATTCAACATGACTTTGTCTTATTTTATGCTTGCTAAATTGGTAAATGGTAACCGAGTCAATCGTGGCCTCGACACTGACAGTCTCCGTCCTCCGTTGTTGCTCGGACAGGCTGCCGGCCGGCCGCGGGCAGCAGCAGGTCATCAGGGGACCGGTCCACCTCTCGGTGCCAGCGCCGCCCGGCGGCTTCTCTGTCAGTGCTAGTTCGTCTGGGGACCGCGGGGAGGCGCTGCCTCTGACGGTGAAGGCCGGTCCCGCGCCGAGCGGCGCTGCTACAAAGGCCGGCGGCGGACATCAGATCACCATGACGGTGCCCTGGCCGGCTCCGGGACAGCAGGGAGCCAAGGTGAGCTAATGGCGCGTACTGTGAGATAACAGGAGGGGATGAACGAAAAAGCTGTCGGGATTCCAAGGAGAACTTACGAAACAATGAAATAAGGGAATCGTGATTGATTTGACAAGGATCGGCTGTCTTCTAGAAAGACGATATTTAGGAAATCTGATGAGCCGCAATTCACATGTCAAATGCCTCACTGATGTGTTTTTGTATGGCTACGTCTCTGACACTTTGACGGTGTGCGCCAGGTGATCACGCAGCCGGCGCACGGGCCGCCGCTGCAGCTGTCCCAGTTTGTGCCGACCCAGGGCGGCCAGGTGCGGGCGGCCACCTCCCAGTCCACCGCGGCGTCCGCGGCGCCGGCCGCCTCGTCTGCCGGTGCTCCTGCTGTCGCTGCCGCCGCCGTCGTGCAGACCTCGTCCACTGCCATCCCAGTGGCCAAGGTAGGGTGGTGGGAAGGAAAGGAACAGTGGGCAGGACTCGAAAGGGCACCATTTTCAGGACATAAGGACACATTTTAACGATAACATTTTTTGTTAGTGTCTATTTTTCGCTTGTTGCTGAACCATCAAAATAATTTTATCTTGACTATTTGATATCAAGTCTATCCATATAAATTATGCTGTAATGGGTGCAGTATGATCCTGCTGTCAACGGGCCTAAAAATGTCCAACAAACAAAAGTTCTTTTTAAGCGTACCTAGGACAAGCTCCCTCTCAAACAAAAACCATCTGTCTGTCGTCCGTCACGCTGCCCTTGGCCGCATTCGCCAGCCGTTACCGTTTGACAAGTTGGCGCGACTTAAATTGCGGTCGGTGTTTGACGTGGACCCGCGGCTGTGCGGGCGGCCGTCCAGCGTCCGGCCGTGTCCTGCCGTATTGACACGACCAGCGCGGGGTGGCGTCCCCCCCCCCTCCCCCTGGTCGACAGACGCCGACCGGACCATTGTCATCGGTGACATGTTGACACGGTAATTTCGGTCGGCTAAACGTCGGATGTGATGTCCCTATAGAGGCGGCGCAACTTCTGATGCATTGTCGCCGCAATTATTGTATCCGATGGTACGGCGATGCGGGGAACCGTTCTCGTTTGTCAACCTGTGGCTGGTGGCGCGGGCCATCGACAAACATTTTGGCAAGCAAGCACTTTTGTAGAGGCGAAATGCGTTAATGGAGACCTTTCGAGTATTGCTTAGTCAATTCATGCGAGTCGTGGCTCGTGGATGTCATCGTATCGCCGACCTTCGCATTATTGCGACTCCTGGGCCTCGTTTCATAAAGCGAGTCCGTAACTTATGCCGGTTTTTGGTCTTATATTGCAAGTGCATGTGAAGCGATGACGATTGTTTGAATCGTGGGATTTATTTATCTTGCAAGCAAGAACAGAAGGGAGAAGGGGAAATAAATTCATCGCTTCACGTGAGCTTGCAATACAAGCCCAAAAAACTGGCGTAAGTTACGGACTCGCTTTATGAAACGAGGCCCTGGTGTCTATTTTTCTTCTTCTAATATTACCCATGGTCAGGCAACCAGCATTGCCCCCGCCTTCAGTCCCAGCGGATCCGCGGATAATTAAAGACGAAAACGTTATCAACTAGCTTACCATGCATACTTATAAGTTGAAGGCCTTTCGGCACGGATTTGCAAAGCGCACAGGCTTTGATGTTTCCAGTAACCTCAGTCCGTGTTTTTTTTTCTGCTTTTCTTGGAACGCCTCTTTCCACACTGCACAACCAACTTCATAGTTTTCGTAATTGCTACAACCTGTAACAGGTCAGCTGTAGATGTCAACACGCTCCGTAGAATGTTGGTCTCTGATGGGAGTCGGTGACTTACGATGAAACCACTCCCGTCCGCCTATTCTGTGACCAGAGCTCCGAGCTCCGGAGCTCTGCTCCGTCGCGATCCGTGACTAAACAGAGGTCTATTTGTGGGCCACACGTTTTTATCTTCTTGGGAGCAGGAAATCCCCAATTAGCCATTACGAGTTTTATTTTGTTTGATAATATACGGTGCTCCTTCAATAGATTATCGTTCATTTAGTAAGAATCGGATGTTTCAGCAGGATTCGCTGGACTGATTAAGCGTTTTATTTTGTCTTATCCTACAGAAAAGTTAAACCGTTTTCTACTCCTTCATGGTCTTGCGTTTGCAGGTTTTGCCCCAGCAGCAGCATCAGCAGCAGCAGCCACCGGCTCAGCCGCAGCACCCTCACCAGCAGCAGCAGCCGCAGCAGCAGCACCCTCAGCAGCAGCCTCAGCAGCAGCATGCTCAGCACCAGCCGCACCCGCAGCCGGCGCACCACCCGCCGCAGCACCAGCAGCACCACCCTCAGCACCCAGCGCAGCACCACCCGCAGCATGCAGCACAGCACACGGCACAACATCCAGCACAGCACCCAGCACAGCATACAGCACAGCACCAGCCCCAGCACACGGCACATCAACCCCAGCACCCAACCCAGCACCCGTCTCAGCACCCAACCCAGCACCCATCCCACCCCTCCCAGCATCCGTCCCAGCACCCACCACAGCATCCGTCCCAGCACCCACCACAGCATCCGTCCCAGCACCCACCACAGCATCCGTCCCAGCACCCACCACAGCATCCGTCCCAGCACCCAACTCAGCATCAAACCCAGCACCCACCGCAGCATCAGACCCAGCACCCATCCCAGCACCCTTCCCCTCACCATCCTCAACACCCTCCTCAGCACCAGCCTCAGCACCAGCCTCAGCACCAGCCGCAGCACCAGCCACAGCACCAGCCACAGCACCAGCCGCAGCACTTGCAGGCTCACCACCCACAGCAGCATCAGCAGCCAGCGACGAGTCGCGACCAGACCCTCCAGCCGCAGCAGCTGCGCCATCCAGGTATGGAGGGGTCGCGATAATTTCTTGTCGCTCAATTGGCATTCTGGAATGCAGCTTGTAATAATTGACATTCGTAAGGGTTTTTATTTGGATTTAAATGTATTTGGGCTTTGTGATTGCTTGTGGATTTTTTTCGCCTTGAGTCTAAAAAGTCGCTTTGTCAGACGGCAATGGGGCATTGTATGCACTTTTTTGTGCGATAAAACCCTTGCATCAGCTCTGCTGTGCGGAAGACGTGTCATTGACATCATTTCTCCTGACCTGACCTGACCTGACCTGGAACGTGTTTCACAGGGGAGCCTCAGGCGGCCGTGCTGCGGGCCACGGCCGCCCAGTACGGCGTGCCGGCCGGCGTGGTGTTCGAGCACGCCGGGTACGCCGCTGTACGGCAGCCCACGCCAGGTGAGTGACGCTGCCATGTTCGATACCATCCAAGGTCCCTTTTCCGTGTCAGCCTGTAGGTGATCTCTACTACCTCTACTACCTCTACGAGGTAGTAGAGGTAGTAGACAATAAACCAACATTGCCGATTTATTGCACGCCTCTTCGCCGACAAGAGTCATCAGCTTCCCTGTTCCTACTGGGCATCTCGTATGGGACTACAAAGCATCAGTGCTGTGGGAGGCGGCGAGGCTGTTTGCAATGAATTTCGGAAGCCGTTATAGCTCCGGATACCCGCTTCTGTCACTGGCGTGACGTTTAAATCTATTCTCTGTCGCTAGTGACGATATATTTTTCGTTATGTATGCGTTTTCATGTGTTTTATCTTTGCGGTGTGTATTCGTATCACTCTCTCTGAGTCGTTGATTCCCGTGCTGTCTCAGGGCCGAGTGGCGCCGGCCGGCTGGTCAGAGGCCTGGAGGGACGGCTGCAGCCGCACGCTACTCCTCAGTCACCGCAGGCGGCCAAAATGACCTCACCTCGACCGAGCATCCTGAGAAAACCACCCAGTGAAATGTGAGTGCCACCCTACTGCTGTGTCTTCACTCATTCATTCATTCATTCATTCATTCATTCATTCATTCATTCATATAATTCATTGAATTCATTCATTCATTTAAGTTATTAAATTCATTCAAGTCATTCAGTCATTGAATTCATTCGTTTTTTTTTTTTTGTTCATTAATCCATTCATTTATGTCATTCTTTTATTTTGTTTGTGCACTGACTCACGGGTCCTTGTCTTCCCATGTAACATGCCCGTTCTGGCGGCAGGACCCCCGGAGGCCGGGCGGTGCGGAACCTCAGTCACCAGCTATCGGTGGCAGTGGCCAGCACCAGCGGCACCAGTGGCACCAGTGTGCCGGGTCCCAGCGGCGCCGGTCCCTCCGGCTCCGGCGGCGGTGGCGGTGGGGGCGGCGGGGGCTCGCCGCCCTCCTCTCCTCCGCGCCGGCCCGACTCGTCTGGCCACTCGTCCAGTACTATATCGGCCTCGTCCTCTCCGGGAGAGCCGGCCGGCCAGGAGGGCGCCGACGAGCCCACGCCGTCCACCTCTGCCGGAGCCGGGGCCGCCAGCAGTGCCGGAGCCGGGGCCGGAGCGGCGGCTGGAGCCAGCGGGCCGGTACCCGGCACTGCCACGCCGCCCCTGGGACTCAGCCCCAGGAAAAAGCCGCGCAAACAGAACCTGTGAGTTGCAACAGAAGTGTGTAGTTGATGGTGCGGTTATCGGGTTGTGAAAAATATGCGACCGGGCTCTTGTCGGGGACAGATAGATAAGGAAATCGTAAACGACTTAGTTTGACGAGATTCTTTGTAAGTTGTTGTTGTTGTTGAAGAGTTAGGGCGCGCAGCAAGATTCTTTGTAAGCAAAAGCGCGTGAACAGATTTTAATTTGTCTCGCGCTGGAATAGTCAATCCTTGACTGCTTAATTTCCCAAGCACTTCCCAGCATAAAAGAATCTCACAATTTCACAATCATTGCGGTACATTTTCTGTGGAATGCTCATAGATCACCGTCTTTGAGCCATCTCCATCAGTGGGGGAACTTTCACCCCACTCCCAGTTACGGCGGACCCTCACCCACGACCCTCTGTCCACAGGGCGTCCACGGCGTCGGCAGCGCCGGCGGCCTCGTTCCCTGCCGTACCGTTCAGCCGTCCGCGGCCGGCGCGGCTGGGCAGCGACGACGAAATGAACTTCCTCCGTGAACACATGCGCACACCGGCGTCCTCGTCGGCAGCCTCGACGGCAGCGGCGGCGGCACCGCGACCCGCCGAGCCGGCGCCGCCGCCCCCGAAGCGGCCGGCCATGTCGCTCCTCAACTCGTACGGCCCCCGTACTTGGAAGCCGGCCTCGAGCCATTTCGTCAAGTATACAGACGTGCGGGGACGCGATGAGCGGAGACCGACCATCGCCGACCTGGCCAGTCAGAAGCACATCTCGCAGAAGGTCAACGGGTGGAAGATCCACCATATTTCGGGTAGGTACCAGGTCAAAAGAGCTGGCTCGGGATCAGGGGGCGGCGTTGTGTTGAACAGGATACTGATGACATTGATATAACACAAGGGTTGTTTGGTGTATTATCTTTTGCTGCCATCTTTACGTCATTGCCAATGCTTTTCATGAAAGACACGCTTTTTAGATATTGTCTCGGATAACTGACTCGTTTTTTTTTACCGAGCTCAGCTTTCTACCTTGTCCGTAGTGTTAGTTGTCACCAGGGATTTTGACCATCTTGATATCGAGATTCTTGATCGTTTCAGCTGCCCCAAATTGCCACCTTTAGCGACACTGAAGTCCCAATACAACGAATCATTGGTTCGTTCTTCTGTTTTTTTTTTTCAGCATATGTGCGACATATTTTACGCCACCCCAGCCATAACCATAACTGCATTATTTTTTGTTTTTATTGTTGTTGTTTTTTCGTATGCATAATGCATCTGTTTACTCTTGCCCCCTTACTAGTCAATTACCACCAAACGGTTTACCACTCCATTCGCTGCTCAGTCACCATCATGTATGCTTATCATCATTCACGGCACGGAAATAATATCGCCCTAGCATGATCGCCTTCGATCCCTGTATACTGGTCTGTCGCTATATTTTGAAGGACACGCTAGGCAAGCCCCTGATCTATTCTTGATCGCGCTGACGCCATGGGCATGGATGAGAAAGTCAAGGGTATGTAGGGTATGCTTCAACATGCAATTCGACGTAGCCTTCGGTAGTTACTTGTCACTCAAATACATGCTTCTGTATTCTTTCCTCCGGCTATTGAAGAGTTACGACGTCGCCGCAGGCTCTTATTCCGTGCTTATTTTAGTATTCATGCAGAAGTGTTTCATGCTTATTCTACGTCAGGTTCACTTGCACTTGCATAAGATGTCCGAGATTCTGATAGTTAGCCATGCAAGTACGCTCACTTTTGTAATCGTGCGTCATATTTAGGTCGGTAATTCCAACTGAATATGTATTCAGTGCGGCGCTGAGGCGAAGTTGTATCCCGCTCGGGACCGGTGAGCCGAAGGCTGCCAAGGTAGCGTTAGTGATTGTTGCCGGCCCAACCTTGCGATCTCATAGCCGCGACCTACCGCCGTTGTGACATGTCGGCGGCCGTCAGTGTCAAATCGGCACCATCTAGCTCCTGTCAGCCGGAACAGTGAAAGGAAACACCCTCGTAATTTCGCAAATGGGTAGCTACACCTTGGCTCCAGGTGCATTTATATACACGGAAAATGGGGCTGACATGATAATTTGACGCCGTGAATTGGACAAAAGGATTATTTAAACGAGCCATATATTGTTTGACCTTTTTTTCATGGCTCACAAGATCAATGCCAAATTTGTCTTGGCTTGTTCACACTTCACACCCTCACGCAAATCAATTGGTGTGTGCAAGATGGAGTAATAGTAACGACTTACCCATTTGAAACCGACTGCGCATACGCTAGGTAGTAGATATGGGCAGTTTCTTGAGTGAGTGATTGTCATATAACCCTCAAAAATGTTTGCTCCCTTGCCACCGGTCGCGATTACCTATAGCACTGGGGTCTTCTATGCCGCCCCTTCAAACCCTCTGCATCATAAGCATTCACCTCCAGCTTCCACCATCTCCACCTATCTGACCTCCCTCCTCTCCCACACTCAGGTCAGTTGGACGAGCTGGCAGAGGTGGAGCGTACCGTCCACCGGCGCCTCACAGAGATGCTGCGCGCCTCCGAACGCATGTCGTTCTCGCGACGGGAGGACAAAGAAATCACCAAGCTGAACGAGCTCATCAAGGTAAGCGCGGGAACGTGGTTGCAGGGGCTCAACCAGATATCATGAGCGTCTATTTCGTGAATTAGAACCATATGTGTTTATTCAAAGTCGATCAAGTACCCATATGGATCAATCAGTGTAATCCACACGAAACAAGGTTCAAGCCAAAATTACAATGAACTTCACGCTGCAGTTTATCAAATACCACCGACAGTGTCTTTTTGCCGTTTCCCCGCCCTATGCTTCACCCCCGATATGATGATGTTTGGGCATTGGTCTAACTCCCAATGGGCGCATAATGACTCCTATATCGACGCGCCCTAAAAACCCAATAAACAGGTAGCAAACGTCCAACTCCTGTTCCGTTCGCCACCAGGGTAACGTGCAGCGGAGCAAGATCCTGCGCGACCAGCTGAGCGAGGCCAAGGTGCAGATCACCTCCGTGTTCGAGCACAAGGAGGCCATCGAACAGGCCATCGAGAGGTACGGACGAAAGCGACCCACGCGAAAACGCGACCGGCGCTGAGGCGCGATCCCGCGGCCCCTGGGTTGTAGCGGCGCCGATGTTGCGAGCGGTGGCGTATGAAGGCGATGTGAGTGGCTGGACGGGACAGAAGAGGGGCAGCAGGATGATGTAGCGTAGAGATTTAGCACGAAGCAGCAGAGTCGTGCTCAGGCGCAGGGAAGTCACTTGGCGGTGTTCTCGAGATCTCTGGCGAGCTGTGTGTCATGGCTTGTCGGCTCCGATAATCAATAACGTTCATACAGAGGGGTTGTGGAAGATTCTTTCTGAAGACAAGGAACTCATCCGCGCAGGGCAGCCTCGGTGAACCGCGAAGAATCGAAAGGAGTCACAGTTGTTTTATGGCGTCGAACGCCGGTTTCTCACTGCGCGGATTTTAATTTCAGTTTTGGTAGATGTAGACATTCGAAGCGAATCCCTCTGCGTCTAGTGTTGTCCCTCTATGGCAACACATTGTACAAACGTGCCGTTTCCCGATCACCGTTGCCGGAGCGGCAGGAGCGTAGTTTTAGCGATCCGGGGCCGTCCGTCCTCCGTCGTCGGCAGTTGGATGCGACTCGGACCCCGCCTGGGAGCGGTCTCGCGACCAATCGGGACTCCGTGTGTGTCTTTGGCTTACGTGGTCAAAGTTAGCGATGAGCTGTTCATTTTGCCGACTATGAAGTGCGGAAATTCGTCGGTCGAGTGAGAAGCGTCGCGCCGGTGCGATGATTGCCGACGTGGTTTTGTTCGTGTCCCGCGGAAGTCGCCGGTGGAAATTCGTTCAGAGTTCATCGGCGTCGATCTGAGTGGACCAGTGGCTTGTGTATGAAGTGGTTTTAGAGATAGAGAATTCTTATTCGACGTGCGATGGAGATTGAGAGTTTGCCTCTGCTGAGTTAGACTGCAGATGAACCGAGCGTCTCTTGCTTCTGGAAGAGTGGGGTCCGTTGCAGGTAGTCAAAAGGGAAGAAATGAAGTGCACGCGAACGAGAGGATGAACTTGTGCGCGGCAAAGAACGCTTTCATGGACATCTTAGAGGAACAACTTCTCAGTTTGGAGTTCAGCGTGACCCTCTCGATGGGGTTGCTTTTGTAATAAACACGTTCTTTGTGATATCATGTTTCCATTTTTTCTTCAAACCTCGCCATTTTTAGATCTGCACAGGCTCAGACGTATATACAATTATGCATTTTTATTTTACATAGACGTTGGAAATTAAATTGGTTATGTTGTCTTTTCCAAATGGCGTTTATACAATTATGCATTTTTCTTTTACATAGACGTTGGAAATTAAATTGATTATGTTGTCTTTTCCAAATGGCTGGATGTTGTGGCATCAGCTGTCCCATTCCAGTTCAGTGACAATTTTTCTGTCTTGTTTCCGCGAGAGTCTCCTTCGCCTGATTCCGTCATTTTCTTTTGCCACTATCGTTTTCGCCTCTCCATCATTGCTTCCGTGTCTGATTTTCGTCTTTTTGATTACCCTGCCCAGTGCCCATGTGGCGTGAGCGTTGTGCGATGTTATCTATGGCATGACGGATTGTTTGCCCTGGCCAGCCGTTCTAAATAATTCGTCATCGATTGACTGATCAGATTGACCATTCTCTCAACGGCTACGTAGCGAATGAGTGATTGGTTGTGTCTTAATTTTAGTCAGCTCAGTCCTAGGGACTATTACTTGTAATTCATCAGATATTTCCACTCTTCTCATTGTATCTTCTTTAACCAGTTACCATCCTCCTTCATACATTAATCTCACAAAGGCGCACTCTTGCATTACCCCATATATTCACATCGCGTTGACAGGCTCACAAACAGGCATACAGTTGACCAATGAATGAGTATCAGCTGGGGGCGCGGGACAGCACAGGTTCACAGCACGCGAAACGGACACCCCACACGGGACGCAGGTCAGGTCAGGTCAATTCCGGGTCTTGAGGTCATCACGGCTCCATAGAGACGTCCTTAGCCTTTGTGGGTTGTCGGGAAACCTGAAACAGCAGCGGTTTTTACAAATAACATAACATAACATAACATATATTACAATGTAACAACAGGCTACAGGAGCCCAACAAGGTTACAAGGATGAAATACACAGTGATGTACACATTCATGCACACTGAGAAGGAGAAGGAGAAACTTAATTTAAGCTCATTTCAGGTATACGACTCATTTTGAAGATGAATTCAGCATTGTCCAGCGAAAAACAATGACGAGATCCACTTTGCTGGGCCACCATTACTAACTGTATGATATATTACACAGACAATATGCCCACTGTCCAGTGCTACTAGCCCCCGTCAGGTGCTTCCCTTTCCTCCAATCGAGTTAGCCCGGCGCGGCGAGTCAAATCCACCCCGTGAGACGGTCCCGGCCCAACACAACATCGGCGCCGCGGGTCCGTCCGGCTCGTCCCAGTCCGCCTTTCGTGGAAACTGCCCCTCTTGAGTCTACACCATGCTCGTAATAGTGAAAGCACTTGCTCGTTGGTTAGATGGCGAGCGGCTTAATACCGGCTTTGCAGGGAAGGGAATTACTTTCCGTCTTGACCATCATCCAACAACATCTCGTATCCGGAAGTCCGCGTCCACCGGTGCTGCCTCTCGCCGCCCACACCGACTCACCCACCCAGTATATCTATCTCACTCTCACCCACTGCACCACCAGACTCACCCAGTATATCCAGCTCCTTGATGTCGTTGGTCGAGAGGCCCTCCTCGGTCTCAAAGCTGCGTTTGCGGGCTCGCGTGGCCACCGAGCCGGTGACTTTGCCGCGCACAGAGCCGGTTGTTGACAGGTGGCTGTTGGCGCCCTGGTACTTCTCCTGGATGTCGGAGCCGGAGCCGGACTGTCGCGCCCGCCGGAATCGGCTCGTCTCCCGGCCCGTGGTGACTACCGTGGCGCCTGGGGGGGGGGGGGGCGGTGTGAGAGAGAGCGACTTCCGAGGGAGGTTTGGGCGGTGAATGGTGATGTCTGAATGACTGACGTCAAAAGTAACACTTTGAGAATGCTGACTGAAGTATATTAATTGATGCATGGATGAAAAGTTGGCAGGCCTACCATACATATCCTGAGACTGAATTTATGAATCAACTTCCACTTGCAATTCCCTCTGCCCCGGACGAATTCTCGCTGCGAATGACTGTAATCGTCCCGTCCTGACTCACCTTGTCCGGCGCGGCCGCGCAGCGAGCGGCGCTTGTTCTCCTTTGTCTGCTCCTGAAGTCGCTCCCGGGAGTTACCGAATGTCCGACCCTTGGTCAGCTCTGTGAAGAGCAAGCAGGAGTGTCAGGGGAGGGCCAGGGTCTGTGGATTGTGCCCCTAATCGGTATCACATAACGGGAAACAGGCAATAGAATATGGCACCGTTTCACGAAGAGTTTGATCTTCACTCCGCCATCCCGATCAGGAAGTTTGGAGACAGAAAATGAGCTCTGTTCGTTTATTTATAATCAATATATTGATACGATAGTTCTTTGCACTTGATGGATTTACTTATAAAGGAGATATTTCATTATTAGTCCCTCAAGTGTCTCAAGTAAAATGTAAGTGGTTTCGTAACTTCTGGGAAGTGGTACCAACTTAACTCACTCTTCATCGTGCTGGTGCAGTGGTCGCACTTTTTGCCCTTCTTCTCCACCTGGACAAAGTTTCCGGACTGTTTGGTGGCCGTGTTGGTCTGTCGCTCCCCGAGCACTTCTGTCTGGATGTCACGATTGAGGCCTGCCGATACACGGATGTAGTGAGTGAAAAGGGTCAACGATTTGAAGAGGTATTTAGCCCCTTTGACATCTTTGTTGAGTGTGATTGAAACTGAACTACCTAATATCTCATGTACTCGCACTCATTATTGGGTTATGCCATGAGACAGCAATGTGGTCGAAGGTTGTACTGAAATTGCATCATCCGATCCAGCTTAAGATTTACTGCACATGCTTCAAACCCTCAATGTATTCCAGCCCAGTTTGCCCTACGAATGTCGCATACGTAACCGACCTCAACCAGACCACCCCGAAGCCTGTCTCAGGACCCCACAACCCACATCACCGTCACAAGTTGCACCTTTGAAGCCAAGTTACGCCTTTTGAAGCTGGCGGCACGAACGGGTCATTCCCGTCCCGTCTGGGCCCGTGGTCCTGGAACAGCGACTGCTTAGTTACTTACCCTCATCGGTGGCTGCCTGTCGCAGCTTAGCCTTGCCGATGCTCCTTCCCTTGATGGCGGTCCTGCTCTGGGCCTTGTCACTGCTGCGCCGCTCCAGCGAACCGACCTCGAGGTCTCCTCCGCGACCTGACGGGGAGGGGGGGGGGGGGGGAGGTGTGGTACCGACTCAGTGAATGACGGTGGTCACTGGTCAGGCTCGGCTGACCGATTTTGACTCTATCCTATTGGGTCTAGATTTTGAACTCAAGACGTGCATGGAGGCTGGTCCCGTTTTTTTTTTTTTTGTCCGTTTAAAGTTTGATCATTTCTATTATTTTACGAAAACCGTCATTAATTATTCTCCCTGATTGTCATTCATTGACATCAGACAACTAATTAAACATTTTCTCCCTCTGTATGGATTTGATTAATCGAGTCTATCCCTCACCTGCTAGCCGAAGGTTCTGTTTGGTGGTGCCCGCGGAGACGAGGGTTCCTTCCCGGAGCTCACTCTCCGTGCCGAGTACAGCCTGATTCTCCTCCAGCAGCTCGACAGGGCCGCCGCGCGAGCCTGCGGGGAGAGAGAGAGAGAGAGAGAGAGGGGGGTCAGGGGATGCGATGCCAGAGCCGAGGGGCTCAGAAGTCAGAACACAGGTCAGGCTTTGTGGGTGTGGGTTCCTGTGAAGGATACGGGTGAGAGGTTGGTAGTATGGGGTAAGCCATGGGATAACGATATTAATGACGACTGAGAGTACGGATGTGGCGGAATTTTTGATATCACGGCAAGCCATACCTTCCGGAGATGGATACAGTGTTTTATTGTGTTTACTGGGGAGGCGACATGGCTGAAAGGCATCCAGCTTTTACGTGCAGTTGTTAGCGAGATTATGTTAACTTTATACGCCGTGACAAGTCAGAACAACAATACTAGGGCAGTTTTGACTTTTCAAACTCAGTATTTATTTATGGTGTCGTGGAAGCTTTCCATTCTGCCCAAATAAACTATTCGGCCCTTTGTCATATCTGTAAATCCCGCGCACTCCGTGACCTGGCTATGAAATATTCAGCTCGGACAAAATTCGACGGTCGTTTCTCTTTCATGCATTTCATCGGCTAACAGTTGACAGTCTACAGTTCCGCCCGAGCCCTAGCCCCTATGACACTGTTGATTTCTGCGAGGTCAGTGCGCATGCGCCGTGACCTTACCTGCGAATCCCTTGGCGGCGGTGCCGCTGAGTGAGAGTTTCTTGGATTTGGTGGTGGCCTGTTCGGTCTCAGCGCGTCTGCCTCTTTCCGTTCGCAGTTCTTTCTTGTCACCCTTGGATGTCAGCGAGCCTCTCTGCCCTGCAAAGGAAGTGGGCGGGTGCAACTACATCAAGTGGCTGCAATTAATGGAGACATATCTGTTCTATATTTATAACCTCCACGAGATTTTCACCGTGTCGGCTGTCTGTTTGGCTGTCGTAACGTTCAGCATTTGCATTTATTTAGTTTACCGATGAGGCCCTGAAACAGGGACAGCATTACGCCGGAGCTCGTGATCGGAATTGGACACCCACCTGGAGCTAGCGCGGCCAGGTCCTGCGCAAAGTTCTCCTGCTGCCGGTTTGTCTCCTGTCTCTTAGTGTTCTTCAGTCGCTTCCGCTTGGCCAGTTCCAGTCCCGTAGTTTGCTGGATGGCGCCGTTAGGACCGATTCGGCCGGCGACTGAAAAACAACATTACACTCATCAATTGGTGACATATAACTTAATATAAGACCCCTTCTTCCCTTTGATTGATATGTGCTTAGGTGGGCACCGACGAGGTGGCATAAGTTCATAAATCGCATTGGTGTAAGCCGCTTCTGCTTTGAAATATTTCCTGTGAACGTCGCAAAGTTTCACTTAAGGCTGTCATTAATAACAAGTAAAGGATATGTCAAGACAATTAAGTGGAAATGATTTACAAATGTCGTAGGCTTACATTGTCC